TCTCCACTGCCTTAACCGGGTATTGAACTCACACTCTTTGGGTCCCGTCACTGGATCTAACTAACGCTTTTATCCACTGTGTCTTTGATTTTAAAAATAAGACTGGAAAGTGATGACTATCCAGACCCCGCCCAAATATGACAACAGTTCTCAAAATTCTGCCTCTTGTAAAGGCTAGTAGGGGTGGGCAATCTCCGGACCACATCTGGCCCGTGAATGATTTTTATACGGCCCGCCAAATTAATACCTGGATACTAATTATTTGATTAATTTGTGGAGCAAGTTGCAGAAAAAATATCAGTTGGAGTTAATCGACTTACAATGCGACGAATTTTTGAAATCAAAATTTCATTCCGAATCCATTGCTGACTTCTACAAGAAAGACATTTAACCAAGTGAAAAATATAAAAACCTTTTGAATAATGAGAAAATGATGGTGTTATTATTATTTAGAAGTACATGTTATTTTAGTTGTTATCATGCCATAAAATAAGTAACCTTATACATAATATTAAGTTCGTTGTTTTTTTTTTAAACCTCCTGACCTAGGCAGCCTTCTATGCGGAGCGGTCAGAGGTCGAGAGAATTACTATCATGGTCCTCCCCCATGACAATGTATAGCTTTATGGCCCGCTCTCTCCAAAAGGTTGCAAACCCGTGTTATAATCGCTTGAATAATAAAATGATACGAGAAAATGCAAGAAACGTTTTTGATATCTACTGAGTGTCGTGCAACTGAAAAACTACTTAATTTGATAGCATGAGAAAATTGGCAGAAAAGCAGATTCTCTTGTTTGTTTGTGTTTTTCTTTCTTTGAATTCCCGCCAAGTTAACTCGTATTTTTTGTCCACAATGTCTGAACATTTTTGCGCGACTCCACTTATTTCTTTTGCGCTGTCGATACCAGGTCATGGTGTCTTTGTTATGAGAACGGCGAACTATTCCAAGCTACTTGCCAGTTGAAAATGCCGACTTCGTAGAAGCGAAGACTGCAGTAATAATAATTGGAAAATATATATTTTAAGATTAACATCGAAGAAAATTAAGAAATTTATTATGGCATAAGTGAAAACAAAACAATAATAATAATGTTAGACTTCTCCCGTCGATTAAGACGCATGAGGGCCGAGCAATTCAGTTCTTAGAGATGAACCACCAGATACATGGTTACACGTGTGATTTGATTGTAATGTTGAATGCATGTGCAGAACAAGCCACATTTTCAGAAGAACTGATAACTGAGAACATGTGCATATTATGTCACGAAGTCTCCATAGAAACTTCCTCAAGTATTGAATTCAGAGTTGTCCTTATTTAGGACTTCTTACCAACCAAGGCTAAAGAGCCCAATTTGCTCTACTATTTTTCTCAAAGTTAGGGTGGATTCATATCTTTCTTAAATGTTTAGTGCAAACGTGAATGGAACTAAAATCCGAAATCGCTCTGCCAAATTTTCGAGCCACAAGACTAATGCCACTGCCAGCAAATAATAATCCTATTATAATTGTGAAACCCCCGTTATTCTGCACGACCGTTACGCCTTGCCAGCACTTAATAAATAATGGATTATTCCATTTTGATTATTCAGGCCGCACTTAATGGTGTTTTTTTATGCTTCTGACCGCAAATAAAGAATTCCCAGGAGCTACCCCGAACATTGAATGACAATGAGTACTCGACTAGAAAAGCTAGAATGTGCATCATAGTTTATCGAAATAAAGTCGGAAATTCAAACACGAAAAAATTTCACAACTTAATATTGAAAACAAAGTCCAATCAGTCATTCGATTCTAATTACTTTGTGGATGCTCTGTATATCACAATATATTTCGCCTAGAGAAATTATAGCAGATATGACCACCTCCCCCGGAGCACCTCCCCCACAAAAAAAGAAGAAGTATATGAAAAGTCGAAAATAAAGAATGTTTCTCAGAAGAACATTAGTAATTTCTTACTATAAAAAGGGAGATAATAGTCTTCTTCATCTCTAGAACTCATCAAATATTGTTCTACAGTATAAAATGTCTTATAAATTTCAACTGACAGAAATGCTGAGTGATTAGTCAATGAATGCCTAATGTTTCCTTATAAAGAAAAGTCCTGGGTATGACGTTAAACTACACCCGGCATTGGGTGACTGGAGGTTTTAAGGAAATTGGAACCACCTATTAATTGTTGTAGTTCCCAAGTTCAATCTGACTCGGGGTGGTAGCACCTGTTAGGGGTCCTAGCTATGGGTAAATAATGAACCCCCAAGCAAAAAACTGTGAAAGTATAAAATAATTCATCGAGTCTGTCTGTTTTACAAATACTTTCATGGCAATTGCTCCGAGGAGCGGCATTCGCTGGTTTCCAGACTTCATGAGTTCAAGCGCCCTACGAGGCTGGCATCCCGCTCTCACAATTTCACTGTCGAAACTCCTAAATGTAGCCATCTCTTCTACTCCAATAGCTTCATGTCTCGCACCTTTCGCCTGTGGAACTCCCTTCCCTATTCCAGTTTCCCTGAGAGCTATAATCTCCAACTATTCAAATGTAATGTCAATCGACATCTCCAGTTGCCTCGATCTATCAACTACCCTTCTCCTCATCCTTTCTTCTATCACTCCTATCCGATCTTGCTCCAAATTTTCTGTAACCCCTTGCGTGCTTCTCGACTTGCTTTGGGTGAAACGCTTAAAAAAAACTCGACAGAAAGTACTGGACGGCCGTTTCGTCCTATATATGGGACTCATCAGCAGTGCGCATCCACTACCGAGAATTGAAACCCGGACAGTCACAATATCAGGCTAACGTCATGCCAACTGTACCAACGAGCCCCCTTTACGAAGAGCTGACTATTATAGTACGAATACAAGCAATACATTTTCATAAAAAGGGCCAATGATACACACTTATAGTAAAATGACCAATACTACATTTTTAAAGAAAAATTCTCAGCAATAAATTGCTCCGAGGAGCTGCATTCGCTGGTTCCCAGACGTCATGAGTTCCAGCGCCTTACGAGGCTGACATCCCGCTCTCACCTCTTCACTGTCGAAACTCCTAAATGTAGCCGTCTCTTCTACTCTAATAGCTTCATGTCTCGCACCTCTCGCCTGTGGAACTCCCTTCCCTTCTCCTGTTTCCCTGTGCGCTATAATCTCCAACTATTCAAATGTAATGTCAATCGACATCTCCAGTTGCCTTGATCTATCCACTACCCTCATCCTTTCTTCTATCACTCTTATCTGATCTTGCTCTAAACTTTCTGTAACCCCTTGCGTCTTAGTGGCTTCCCGCCTTGCTTGGGGTGAAATGCTTAAAAAAAAATCCATTTTATTAGTAGTTGAAACTATAAAATTGCGTTCAAAATATATTCAGTTGAAGCTATAAAATTGTGTTCAGATTATTTCAGCGTTAAATAACCCATAGAGGTGTTGACATACTGCTGAATATAAACCAACCAACAGACCACCTTATAAGGAAACAGTTAATCCCGCCTCTACTTTTTCTTCTTCTCAGCCTCTTAAGTTCCGTTATTGGGTGTAGGATTCATGCGGAGGAATGGGACAGTACCCTACCGACATGACCCTGTGCATGTTGGTAGGTGCGGATGTAACACGCTTGAGCGACCATGTCTCTTTTTGATTCATAATCGCCCAAGGGTATCTGCATATGAATGTAACTGGAATTCGAACTCTGTTCGCCGATTTCTCATCTCGAGCCGTTATCCATTAAACTAGCCGCACATCCAAATCTACAGCATCTTCTATTTCCAAACGGTCACCCATTTACATACTGACTCGACTCAACGTTGCTTAACTTCGGTGATTGGACAACTGCGTTCCGACGTGATATGGCCGTAAGAAACCCCAACGTTATCATAACCATTAATGATATTTTTAATTAATATCAGGAAGAGGCAGCTGAAGTTTCTGGGAATATAATAATGAGGAAAGAGGGCCTGGAGAATCTGATGCTCACAGGTCGAAAAGAGGGAAAGAGAGACAAGGGAAAACAACGCGTGAATTAAGCAAGTGAATGGCAGAATGTGATCTGTGGAGGAAGCAGAGGGAAGGAATTTGTTGAGTGAGGCAAGGGATAGAGTGGGAGAGCTATGATCGCCTACGTCCTGGAAGGACATGGCTCATAAAAAGAAAGAAAGGTTATGGCGCTGGTTCTAGAGGTATAGCGAAAGATGGACAAATAAGCTACAAGTTACATTGGCAATGGTTTAAAATATATATTACCATATATTTTAAAGAAGAAAAAGCGGAGGTAATGTTACAGAATGCGAACGGAAGGGCAACAATGGTCACAGATTGGCCGGAGTTAGTGGGGAATTCTGACAGTGAGGGGTTGCCTTTTTCTGGGTTTTGAATATAAGTCCAAAACGGCGCTAATTCAACTGAGGGTCTCAAGAATTCTGAGGCGTCGATGTACCACCTGCACTAAGGTTTGCGACTGGTTCACCCGTGGAAGTACACTGAACAAACGTGCGACATGCGTTCCTGTGATGTTAACATTGTACTGCCTCTTAAAATCCAAGCTGTCACTCTTAACAAAATAAATGCCCAAAATAAATGACCCTTTTCGTTGATATTTTTTTTATGTAGTAGCCTGGGGATTCAGAGACGACACAGAACGCAACTGTTCAACTGTTCGTCCCATTGATTACATTATAAACAGGATGAGTTTTTTTTTTCTGGCTTTGTTCTCATTTGAGGATCTACGACCTTGCGACCGTGGGTTCAAGGCGTATATAAACTCCATACTAATCAATGTAATGCTTGTAAATCTCACAATATTTCCACCTGTCATAAATACCAGCAACTCCCCAAAGATCGTCCTTCATAGGTCATAGCTTGAGTTTTAGTAGAAACCGAAAATAAATTCTTACTCTGGAAATGACACAAATAAGTCTTGGAGACTTCCCGCGGCTGTGAATAGTGACCTTTGAAGGGAGCAGTTCGCCTACGAGATTAACAGATAACATGGTGGAATAAACAGGAAGCTTATGTCTTATGCTGTGACCGGAAATGGTCCTTTTCTTTTTCTATTTCTGCTTTTACCATTCTTTTTGGTTTCTTCCTGTTCGTTTGCTTTTCGTTTCACCTTCGCTTTATTCTTCCATTTGTTTCTTGTTTCCTCTTTCTCCCCCTCCTCTCTCTCTTATCCACTTTACATTTTTCCAGGCCTTCTTTCTTTCTTTCTTTCTTTCTTTCTTTCTTTCTTTCTTTCTTTCTATTTCAGTTTTCTTATTCATTTTTCTTATACATTTTTACCTTTTTCATTCCCAGGCTTTTCTTTCTTTATTTCTTTTTCATTTTTCATATTCCATTTTCTTATTCCCATTACCTTTTTTATGCAGTGGTCTCTTTCTTTCTTTCTTTCTTTCTTTCTTTCTTTCTTTCTTTTTCAATATTTCGTATTTCTTTTTCTTATTCTCTTTACCTTTTTTATTCACAGGCCTTCTTTCTTTCTTTTTCAATTTTCTTATACATTTTACCTTTTTTCATTTCCACGCCTTTCTTTCTTTCTTTCTTTCTTTCTTTCTTTCTTTCTATTTCAATATTTCTCTTTCTTATTCACGTTAACTTTTTTTATTCATAGACCTTTTTCTTTCTTTCTTTCTTTCTTTCTTTCTTATCCCCTTTTCTTATTCACCTTTTTTCATTCACAAGACTTCTTTCTTTATTTCTTTTTCATTTTTCGTATTCCATTTTCTTATTTCCATTACCTTTTTTATGCAGAGGCCTCTTTCTTTCTTTCTTTCTTTCTTTCTTTCTTTTTCTTTCTTTCTTTCTTTCTTTCTTTCTTTCTTTTTCAATATTTTGTATTTCTTTTTCTTATTCTCTTTACCTTTTTTATTCACAGGCCTTCTTTCTTTCTTTTTCAATTTTCTTATACATTTTACCTTTTTTCATTTCCACGCCTTCCTTTCTTTCTTTCTTTCTTTCTTTCTTTCTTTCTTTCTTTCTTTCTTTCTGTTTCAATATTTCTTTTTCTTATTCACGTTACCTTTTTTATTCATAGACCTTTTTCTTTCTTTCTTTCTTTCTTTCTTTCTTTCTTTCTTTCTTTCTTTCTTTCTTTCTTATTCCCTTTTCTTATTCACCTTTTTTCATTCACAAGACTTCTTTCTTTCTTTCTTTTTCATTTTTCTTATTCACTTTACGTTTTTCATTTCCAGGCTTTTCCTTCTTTCTTTCTTTCTTTCTTTCTTTTTTTCTATTTCAATATTTCGTATTACTTTTTCATATTCACATTACCTTTTTTATTCACAGGCCTTTTTCGTTCTTTCTTTCTTTCTTTCTTTCTTTTTTTCTTTCTTTCTTTCTTATTCCCTTTTCTTATTCACCTTTTTCATTCACAAGACTTCTTTCTTTCTTTCTTTTTCATTTTTCTTATTCACTTTACGTTTTTCATTTCCAGGCTTTTCCTTCTTTCTTTCTTTCTTTCTTTCTTTCTTTCTTTCTTTCTTTCTATTTCATTTTCCTTATTCCCTTTTTTTTTATTCACGTTACCTTTTTCATTCCCAGGTATTTCTTTCTTTCTATTTATTTCATTTTATTACTTTGTCGATCATTATTTATTTCTTTCATTTTTATCTTTCTTTAAAAATCTTTATTTTTTTTTTGTCTATCAGTTTCAAGCCCTTTCTTTAAATTTTCTCATTAATTAATTTTGTATTTTCCTTTTCGCTGTTTTTCCTTTTTTCCTTTCTTTCTCTCTTATTTTCTCTCTATTTTGATTTATTTCTATTATTTCTTTATATCAATCTTTCCGTACGTATTTTTTAATTTCACTTAATTTCTTTTTCAGGATTTTTTTCTTTCTTTATTTGGCGTATATTTTCCTCTCCGTTTTTGTTCCTTTTCCTTCATTTCATTTTTATTTGGACCCAAATATCTATTTCTTTAATCTCTCTTTTTATTTTTTCCATTTCCTTCCATTTCTAAATATTTCCATCCCTATCTACTTTCATCAATATATTATTTTTTCTTTCAAGCTCATTCTTTCTTTTATCTGAATTTGTTTCTTTTATTTTTATTTTGTCTATTAAAATATTTCTCTTATTTCTCTTTCATTTTAACTTTCTTATTTTTTCTTTCTTTTTCTTTTTCTGTTTCTGTTCTTCTTGTTTATCATTTTTCTTTGCTATTCTTTCTTGCTTATTTCTTATTTTTTTCCATTTCTCTATCTTTGTATTATTTTTTGCTGTTGCTGTTGTTTTTCTTCTTTTTCATCTTCTTTATTTGCGTCTTCTTTTTGCTGTTGTTTTTGTTGTTCTTCCTCTTCTTTTTCTTGTTCTTCTTTATCATCATCTTTTTCTTTTACTTGTTCTTTTTTCTTCTTGTTCTTCCTCTTCATTTTCTTTTTCTTGTTGTAGTTGCTGTTGTTCTTTTTCTTTTACTTGTTTTCCTTCTTCTTCTTCATTTTCTTCTTCTTTTTCTTGTTGTTGTTCCTTTTACTGCTTATTCTTTCTCCTATTATTATTATTATTATTATTATTCCAAGAAAACTACACCAAACCCATTTAAGTAAGGAGAAAAAAAAAAAGGGAAAAAAAGGAGGGGAATAAAATGACAATCCCAGGAGTTTTCATAATCCGAATATATTATCCGTACGATATTCCCAGCCATTTGCCGAACGATCGACATGACTCACTCTTCGATCTTCGTGCACCCAGTGGTTCTCTTACAATACTTAAGCATCACGTGATCAAATCCCAGACGCTTGGAGGTTTTGTTCAAGGTCACTATCCAATGCAATCCAATCCAATCCTGAATACTCTCGCCATCTTTCAAGCCACATAGCATCGGATTTTGCAGTTATTAAATAAAGTCCGTTGATCGTTTGTCCGTTTTCCCTTGCATGAAACCCGCTGCTGCATAATGGCAGGTTACGTGAATTTAGACGAGGAAAGAAATAGTAGTCACACAATTAATGTCGCATCAAGAAAGGGAGAGAGATTTCGGTTGACAAGGTGATAGAGAGGAATGAATCTGAAATACAGGTGTTCCGAATGTCGAATGATTCTGATTGGACTTAGGAAAGAGAAGATTTGACATTGTTTCAAGACAGAAAAATGAAGGTAGGAAGAGGAGGAAGAGAAAAAGACTAACTGGAAGAAGAAGAAAGGAAGAAAAAGAAGAGGAAATCGAAAGTAAAACAAAAGGAAGGAAGAGAAGAATATGATCAGAGAAAGGGGAAAAAGTGAGGAAAAAATAACGGAGTAAAAAAGAAAGAAAGAAAGAAAGAAGAAAAAGAAGAAGAAGAAGAAATTCATTAATAAAAAATGAAAATGCTAGAAGAAATGAAAAGAATTAAAATCAGCAGACTAAATAGATAAAAACTCGTGTGAACATCGCCTTGTGCCAGACTAAGCAATGCTTGTTAAATAAGTCAGTTTTACCAACATAAGATATGCAGATGACATAGTGTTGATAGCAGACACAGAAAGAAAACTACAAGTACTCCTAAAGTGTGTAGTGAAGGAAAGCAAGGACTAGCCGGGGGGGTAGTATTCATACCTTTCCCAAGGATAATAGCATGTAAGTGAACGTAACGGATTTGACCGGAATTCGAACTCGGCTATCCATTACTCCACCGTGCCTCCCTCATAAGTAAATATAAAAAAAAAAAACTAATGAAATAGGCCGATGAACGTGGAGGTGTTTGTGGTGAAGTTAGTGTGGGTACAAGAAAGAAAAGAAGACTTATTCTTGACAAAGAAACGGAAAAACAAGACTTGTGTGTAAATAATCACTCTCGACTTGTCAAATATAATATCACAAAACATCGGAAAGGTCGTGTTGAACATAGAACTGACAAGAAAAATAAAAGGCTAAGAAAAGGGATGGTGACCTGTTGCTAAATTCGCCGAGGATCGAAACCTGATCTCTGTGAAGTGGCGTGCTTTTCACTCCATATGTCAGGACTTGATTATTTTCTTTCTTGCCGCTTCTTGTATTGGAATTCAGTTCATGCCTGCAGTTATATGGACACGTGGCCGAGTGATTGGAACGTTTGCATCCTGACCATTAGACCCGGGTTCGAATCTCAACGTGTTCGATTTGTCAGAAAGGAGACTCCCTGATGATATCGGACTGGAGGCGCCAGTCCCAGCGCGTGCCACCTTTGAAAAGTGCCTGACGACCATAACACGAGTTGACCCAAGCCTTGTCAGTTTGGATTATTTCGTTTTACGGCATATTAACCTCAATGGGTTATTTAATGCCGACAACATTTTTAGGATAGATTCATAATGTATTCTTTGGTTGAGATTGGTTTGGTTTATTTTGTTTTACGGCATATCAACCTCAATGGGTTATTTAATGCCGACATTTTTAGGATAGATTCATTTGAATAGAATATGTATTCTTTGGTTTAGATTGGTTTGGTTTATTTTGTTTTATGGCATATCAACCTCAATGGGTTATTTAATGCCGACAACATTTTTAGGGTAGATTCATATGAATAGAATATGTATTCTTTGATTTAGATTAGTTTGTTTTACAACATATCAACCTCACTCGGTTAATTATTGCCGACCAAATTTTTATTGCTGGCAATATTTTGTTTTGTCAAAAATCTGTTTCAGGTAGTATTTTTCCTTCAAAATTGTATTGCTGGTAATAATTTTTTTCAAAAAAACTATTGCTGGTAATAGTTAACTATTTGCCCATAGCTGGGACCCTAACAGGTGCTAACACCCCGGGTCAGGGTGGACCTGGGAACACTAGCAATTAAGAGGTGGTTCCACGCTCCTTAGAACCTCCTGATCAGAAGCCTTGCTGCTGGATGTAGTTTATCGTCTTACCCAGGACGCGGATGTAGTTTTATGTCTTAGCCAGGACGACGAAGCCTTGTGAGTGAAATTGGCTGAAGTCACGAGTCATTGTTGATCACGCTAGAAAACACGCTCTCTCCCAGAAACTGTAACTGAGGTCTGCTCAGTTGCTGCATAAACAACACATGGGGTCCGTGGGTGTTGAGCGTTTGCAATAGAGATTGGCTACCCACCCTAGTAGACGGGTATCCTCGAATAAATGTGGCCAACTATACATATACATACTACAGTTCAATTTCTGTCTGAATTTCTGGGATGAGGAGTTTTACACTGCTGATATACAAACTATTGTCCTCATCTTTCAGTCCTTGTGTTCTGTCTTAACTTACATTAAATTCCGAACTGAATTAGTTAATCTGCATTTCACTGGTAAAGATATCTCATCTAATTTTTATGTTTAATTCCGCTAAATTATTACTCGTCCTGTTTCCACTCTGCCATCAAACATGGGCGGAGTGTGCTCAGGGGCTTCTCTGTCAAAGGGGCAACTGAGGAAAATAATACTGAAGAGGTGCCCAGCCCTGGGGACCAGCTGCCCGAGGCCGCGCCCTCCCATTGCACCAGAAGGAAGGATCGATGTTCGCACCGAGGCCAGCGCAACTGACGGTTGCGGGGGATGAGGGAAATTGTTGTTCCTCTCCCGGGCGTATACGCTTGGGTCCCCACCTAAAAAATAGACCTTGTGTCGCATCTCGTCCTAGTGTGGGGGGGGGGCAGAGTAAATACTCGCCATCAAACATGGGAAAATAACATAGTGGATTAAAATATTGGTTTGTGAATTTGGTGCTATCGTAATTATAAGGTCAATCCCGGGTCCGGTTAGTTGTACTTGGCCTCAGTGGATACAGGGCGTGGTTCTTTCTTATATATATTTCAAAGTTCTTTGTGTTTCCACTTTCAACCCTTTTCTTCCTTCTTTCTTTTTTTTTTATCTGATATTTACACGCTCGTAATTTTCCTCTCACTTTCTCTTCTTTTTTCTCTATTCCCCGAGCCATCCAATTTAACAGACACTCTATATCTCTTCCACATGTTAAACTTACTATCAAATATATACTTCCTCTAATATAACAGTACGTTCTCTCTTATTTCAGCACTGTCGGTTTTTTCTCAATCTCTTTACTTATCAATGTCTCACTCTCTTTTCAGTTCCTTCATTTGCAACCCCATTGAAAATACTCGAACGACGAAATGAAACCCTTGTCATGTCCTGCAAACTGTTGTTCATCGATCTGCCTTGAGACGATGCGGTGTCTCAGGATGAGGAATTAACTGCGTTCCTTCCAATGTGCCTTTCCCGCCAGTGAGTGGAACGTCAGACACCATGGCGCCTCTGCTGTGCAGACGACAAAGTGCCATTGGTGAAAGTTAATGTTTTGGGGTGGGTAGGCTTTTGATTTTCACGCTTTTCTTTTTCTTTATTCGATATTTCATCTCGGTACATTCATTTCTTTCTATCCCTTGTTTTCCCTTTTTATTACTAGGAATCCGCTTGCGTGCATTCCCTCATCTGTATATGAAACATCCCATCACGCAATCAATAACTGTATGTATCTTTGCCTGTATATATCGACTCATTTCTTGTATTACTCTCAGATTATCTATCTATCTATCTATCTATCTATCTATCTATCTATGTTTAACAATTTCCTTCTTGTTTTATCCTTTTTAATTACCATTTATATCTACGTAATATTTTCACCATTTCTTTTTTCGTTATCTTTAGATAAGTAGACATGGACAGACTAAAAAAGGTAAAGAAAGAAAGAAAGAAACATGCAGACAGACAGATAGATAGATAGATAGATAGATTGATAGATAGATAGATAGATAGATATGGACAGACTAGGAAAAGATTGACAGATGAGTTCAAGAAAGAAAGAAACAAACAAACACGCAGTCAGACAGATAGATAGATAGATAGATAGATAGATAGATAGATAGATAGATAGATAGATAGATAGGCTGACAGACTGGTACTATGGTGTCTCGTAATACAGAATGAGACATTCCATGATTTATTAAGTTTTATTAAGTAATTGCGATATTGTTAGATAGATATATTCGAATTGTTTACCACATTTTGTCTATAACGCATGCATCTATCTATCTATCTATTTATCTATCTATCTATTTATCTATCTATCTATCTATCTATCTATCTATCTATCTATCTA